AAGTGTGCCTACGTGCTGTGTAGCTTGCTCTAGGCAGTCTGCTACCACAGTCCTAAGAACTCATGTTCTTTACTGAGGAAATAAATGCATTTACCTAAAGCAGGTTTGTAGCTCTGAGGCACATAAACACCATTAGTGTCGGTGGAGTTCTTTTCAGGGGAATGTATAGAACACGTGGTCAGGTGTGCTTACTATTACTGAGAAGGGAGAGGGCACTTCAATGTGAGAGAGGCATATTTGTCTGATAGCATACAATTTATCAGAATGCAAAGCAATCTGTCAGAACCCTTCACTGTGGGCCTAAAAATTAATGAAGAGTTTTCATTTGAAAATTTCTCAAGTTATCATTTACCTAACAGAAATAGCCTGTAACTTTCCTAGTTGATACAAAAGATGTGGGACTTACACCTTACCCTGGCGTCTTTAGCACTTCGAACCTTGTGAAACTAGCAACTTCTGACCCAGTCAATCAGCGGCTTTCTTGGGACATAAAGCAGCATTAAACTTTGGACAAATAACCAAATTTGTGTGGAAAATGTTTAGGATTCATTGGCAGTATTTCATTTTATGGCCAATGGTTTAATGTTTTTTATCATTTGGGAGAGGGGAGAGAGAGGGAGAGGGAGAGAGAAAGCATGTGCAGGTGAGCCAGAGAGTCAGAGGGAGAGAGAGAATCCCTAGCACACTGTGAGTGTGGAGCCTGAGGCAGGGCTTAATCTCAAACTGTGAGATTATGACCTGAGCTGAAATCAAGAGTCCGAAGCTTAACTGACTAGGCCAACCAGATGCCCTAACTTTTTTTAAAATCAAAAGCTATACATATGCCAACAGCAATGTTATCAATAGTAACTGTTACGCATCTTTACGTATTGCAGGCTTTGTGCTAGGAGCTTGGTTTGCATTATTGCATTTTATCTTAAAATAACTTTATAGAGTAGGTACAATTTTACTTTCTTATCAATGAGGAAAGAGTTTTACAAAAGTGATAAGGTGTCTCTGAAAAGGTCATTCAGCTAATAAATGGAAGATACACTTGAACCAGGTTACCCTGACTCTGAACCTGAAACTAAACTACAACATCACTTCTCAGATTTTAGTTTGATAAGGAACACTCGTAGCCCTATTAATACTAAACATTTCTGACGTAGCACCCATAGGTTCTCATTTGGATGGTCCATGGCCTGGTAAACTACATTTCTCTTAAGCATTCCAAGTGATTCTCATGAAGGTGACTCAAAGACCATACCTTCAGAAACACTGCCTTACCCTCTACTGGCTGCCATTTAAAATTATAATAGATTGATAGACTTCAAGAAAAATGATTACTTCAAGTTAAAAATATAAAGTAGGTACTATAATTTCTTATTGTGATAAAATATGTACAGAAGACAAATAATGAAATTATTTCATATCTTAATTCAATATGATGTACTTTCATTCTTCAGGAAAGAAGCATCCATAGTAATATTTTCACATAAACCTCAATGTCCCATTTTTTCACAGGCCAGAGTGGTCACAGAGAAAGGTGATAAAAGGGACAGTGGGAGTGTCCGATTTATGAAAATGAAAACACGACTTGTTTATAGCTCAGGTAAGCTTTCTCCCACACAGCTCTTCTTATCAAAGGCCTGTGACAGCAAAAACACTAAGAAAACTAAGCATTTGATAAAATAAATTCATGAAAGGGAAGGTTGTAAATTATTCATCTAATAACTCAACAAAGGCACCACATTACATGCTGGGGTACAAAGTAGTTAGTAGCCATTGTTTTGGGACTCTCTGGGCAACCAATCTGGATAATTTAAGTATAAAGTCCAATTATAAATCAAATAGGTTAGGGCTTCTTGGCCCTCAACTGTGGATGCTCAAGGCTATACTGGCATTGACTAAGTGAAAAGAATTAATTTATTCTCTGCCATATGTGATCCCACCCCAGCAGGGTACTCAACACTGTTTGTCAACCTTTTTACTCATTCCTATCCCATTTATCCTAACAGCTCTTTTGAATCTTTTCCCATTCCCTTCAAGTTCTCAGATCCATCCTCAAAGCCCTCACTTTCCATATATAAACTCCCTTTTTATCCTGGCCATACACGAATTCTCTGCATTTCCCTTTCTTGCACACTTCCTAATCTATGTCAAGCACCTTCTCATAGCTTCTTAGCTCAAGCTAAGAAGAATTTTAACTTCTAAGGCGAACTCCTGCACCTGAGTCTGATTGCATTATATACGGTTTCCTTAGGACCTTGCTCCATTCTCAGCAAGCATCCATTAGTCACCTGTTGCATTCCAGGCACTGTGTTAGACCCTGGGAGCACTGAGATGAAAAGACAGACACCTGCCTTGACTCAGTTCACAGGACATCGTGGAGACAGACAATAGTGGTGGTGAGCCTAAATACGGTGGGACCGGGGTCACAGGTGGACTTGGGTTCAGGCAGCTGGTGACAATGGGGGCTTTACCTAGAAAAGAGCTGAGATTTATAAGATAAATAAGAATTAATCAGGTAGGTAAGTGGGAGAAACAAAGATACAGAGGCTCGGGAAAGTATGCATGGCCAAGCAACTCTTTAACCACCAATGGAAAAGAGTCCTGTGACATTGCTGAGAAAGAACATAAGGGAGTTTATGTCAGAAAGCTCACACTCTGGAATTACCACAGTTAGACATTAGAATAATGTAAAATCAGGGGCACCTGGGTGGCTTAGTCGGTTAAGCGTCCGACTTTTGCTTAGGTCATGATCTCGCAGTTCGTGGGTTCGGGCCCCGCGTCGGGCTCTGTGCTGACTGCCAGCTCAGAGCCTGGAGCCTGTTTCAGTCTGTGACTCCCTCTCTCTCTGACCCTCCCCTGCTCACGCTGTCTCGCTGTCTCTCTCTCCTAGAAATAAATAAAAACATTAAAAAAAATTAAAAAAAAAAAAGAATAATGTAAAATCAGAGGCCCAAAGGCCCGAAAGTGGGAAAGCCTGGTGATCCAGGTAGGATATTGAGCACCTGATTTGGAGCAATAGTGGTAGAGATAGAAAAGTATGACAAATTAAAAAATATACATTTAGGTGGTAGTATCTCAGAATTTATTATTATTTATTATATTTTTTATATTTATTATATAAATTATCTTAGTAATTTATTGTGTGTCAGGGATAAAAAAGAAGAATACGGGCTGAGCTCCAGGTTGGTGGCATTGGTAACCATTGGTTGTGTCACTAGTAGATAGTGACTAGGTCCCCAACAGGACATGTCTTAATGGAAGTGTGGGTGTGGAACTCCGAGATACTGACCTGAGCAATAGCAGTACAGACAGGCCAGGGGAGGTCACAGCTGGAGGCAAGATTACCTGGGGAAAATACAGGAGTGCGAGAAAGGGGTGACAGAGAACGGTCCAGGAAGCCAGGAGAGCCAAAACCCTAGATCCTCCAATGACAACTGAGAAAGAGTAGAAAAGTAGGAGAAGGCTAGCAGGATGGCAACACAGAACTTAAAGTGAAAGACGTGCAAAAGGTGAAGTGAGTGGCTGTCAGATGCTTCAGAGGAGAATTCAGGTTGAGTCTGAAAAGTGCCCCCTGGATTTAAGGACATTTCTCTCTTGCATTTAGTCTTTCCTCTGCCTTTGACCCTCTCACGTGTTCATGTCTTCCCATAATTAAATAAATAACAGATTTTATCACTACATAAAAATTCCTCGGTTGAAACTACTCGTCCTCAGTATATTATTTTTCCCTTAAGCCCTGACTGCCATTTGGCTATTACTGCAATGACATTTCCATCTCACAATTTGCCAGGGACAGTCTTTTCTCACCCACCAGTCCCGTTCTAAATGCCAATTCCCATGACCTTTCCTCAGACATCGTGCTATCTGATCTCTCTACAAAATTTCACAGTATTAAGTCTCCCTCTATATATTCTCCATTGGCTATTTCACGATGGGTTTGGTTCTCTTCTTAGTTCTCCGAAGTTACCTCTTCAGTTTCCCCCCAGGGACTCACTATTCTTGTTAAGAACTTTAAATAAAACTGATTCCTCCCCAACTTGATCCTTAGTTCTTTTCTCTGAAATTCCCATCTCCATGCATTCCCCTCCCGGAGCCCTGCATGCTCTCTAACTGCTAGTAGGTAGAAGACTTACAAATACATTCCCCAACTATATTTTTTCAAGCAGAAAGCTGCATATTTGGAAATCTCACCAATTCAACATGCCCCAGTTTACACTTCTTTCTTTTCTATCCTTACCTCCGCAGAACTTTTTCCCTGCCACGGACTCCTCTTTCATTTCCTATACACAATGAGTGTTCAACCTAAGTTTAGATTCCCTCTGTCTGGTCCTCATTTCTCATTATCTTCCCTCTAGTACACAGAGCAATTTCCAAATAAGGTATTTAGACAGGATACAGAATTGCAGTGGCTTATTTCCCATGATAAAATAGTAACAGCAAACGACCTTTATCTAATTTTCACTATGTGTTGTGTAGGCATTATTCTTAGCATGATACATGTATTTTCTTTTTACTCTCCCCTCTTCCATGAATTTAGACAAGCAAAGTGGTTTATTCCCTTTCAAATGTGTCATTTACACATGTGGGTATTTCTTTTGTTTTGTACATTGGTTTGACTTATGTAACCAGTTCATGGATGATAAAAAAACAAAAAAACTAAGCACTATGTTAGTGAATGTTACCTCATTTTGCCACTTAAACTCTATTAACAGGCATTTACAATGTCTGAAACATAACTACAATCATGATAACCCAAGTCACGGTTAAGTCCTGAAATATCTCCTGAGTGGTCATTAAAGATTAAAACCTTGGTGTTCACATATTCTCATTCTTTCAAAAAGTGGTAGCTCAGAGTCTATATGTTCAGTGAGTGATGTACAGATCCCTTCATCTCCCTCAGCAGAGTGTTGTTCTTTTTCAATTCGATCATCCCCAAGGATTAGTCTCTTTAGAACCCACAAGCACACACCCGTTACCCATTTCGGTGAGGAACAGGAAACAACACTTACTTAAAAAATCCAATTCTCGCAGAAACCTGTAAATCAGCAGAACAATTTTCATGGGCACAAAATCTTGCAAAATGTATCTGGAAATAAAACAGGATAGTATTTTTTATGTTAGTTTAATAAGTAGGTATACTTCATTTTTTTTTAAAGAATTTGACATCTATGATACATGAGAAAAATGAAATTGATGAACGCATTATTTTGTCCCTTTTGAAGAGCTCAATTTGAGAATTAGTCATGGGTTTCAATGACAAGTAACTGCGGGTCAAGGAACTAAGTTCTTTTGAGAGGTAAATGTAAAGCCTAAATTTCTTAAATGGAAAAATTATTGTTTCTTTTACAATTGCTATAAAGAAATGAGTTCAATCAGGCTGAGGTAGTACTCTAGGTAAGTGTTAAAGTCTAGGTTTAAAACCTGTGCTGCCAATGTGTCCTTTGCCAAGTTCCTCTCAATTTTCTGGTGCTACAGTGTGATCCCACTTATGACAAGCATGGCACGCACTTTTCACAGGTGATGGGACAATGAGTTTCTACTTATTGAAAACAACAAAATGTAGAAATGTAGAAATTTTATTTTGAGGACACCTGAAGCAAAATTAAAGGACAGTCTATCCTAAGGGTTTCAGAATTTATTTAACTCAAAACATTTTAATAGGACCCACAGATACTAAAAGGTACATGGGAAGACCTGAGGTCTAAAAAAGACAGAGGAAAAAGCAGAGAGAGATAAAAAGGAAGCTAAGAGAAATAGGTAAAAAGAGAAAGATGCTCTAGAAAGTCAGAGAAGGACCTAGGTTCACTAAATGGGAGATGACTAGCATGTTGTCAGGGTGTCAGACCACAGACTACCTCAACATGGCGAAGGAGAAGGAAGTGTAAATCTTTCTCTCAATGATTAGGTAAATGTGATTTTTTCCCTACCACTCTTATTTATAAAGCAGCTTGTTCTAAAAATAAAAATGCAGATTATTCAAATGTAACTATAAATTGCTAAGGTTTTGGCTTGTGTACTTACAATATTGCATTTTTCACTATTAAAGATATTTAAAAATAGTTGATAGTGACAACCGAAGTTCAAAAGAAGAGTGAAAACACTGATTTCCACAAATGTATTCATAAGAGTATCAAGAAAACTTGCTCTTAAATTATTATGTTCATTTGATCTAGTGTTCTAGACTAGAGAGTGATGATTCTAAGCTCAAATATCTTCAGATGACTTAAGGGCAATTTGTCTAGACAGGACACGAACTAGCCCTTTAAATGTCGCTTCTGCCTTTTTCATTCTGTGTGCCATTAGTAAATGCTTTAATGAATCAATACTTTAAAACATGCCCCCCACATCCTGTTGATGATGTTGTTGGACAGTAAAGGTCTGAACAACTGGACTCCTGGGAAAAAACAATCTGCCAGTGAAACGGAGATATTGGGGAATACGTAAGAAAACGCAGTCCACTGGTTAGAATGCAAGATCCATCTCAAAATGCAATGGGTCCTGGGATGTGGCTGAAAAGCCTATAGTTGAATATGAAAAAGAAATTCTGTATAACAGAAATACTTATGTTTATAAGTGAGTAAAAGCCAGCAAGGGAACTTGACTAACAAGACATGAGTATATCTGTGGGCAGAGAGATAAATTGAGAGAGAAGGGGAAAGCAAATGAAAAAGAGGAGGATCAACCTCATGAATGTGACTCACTGTCATTAGGAGTGCTCCCTAGCAATATATTTTCCTCATGGGCAAGGTATCAAGGAGAGAAAATTAACATCTCATGTATGTGGGAAGCCATTTCTTGAACTAAATGCATATTTAAACATATATAGCTCACTGTCCTAAAGGGAATATAAAAAGTAAAGAAAAATGGAAAATAAGGCAAGGCATAAATCTCTTTGTATATTCAGAAAATTGATTTAAAAAAATTTTAAAGAATTCAGAAAGAGAATTCATTTCCCCGGAACTATGAAATGTTTAAAAATAATTAGTTATATGCATATCATATTTTGAGTAAAGGAAAATATTCTTACTGTTTTTTCAATGATGTCTTTTTCTTTCTTCTGCTGAAGAATTGGTTGAAGTGGTGGGAATTCCTCTGTACTTCGTTTACTGATGACATGATGCCCAAGATGGTAAGCAGCTTCAATCTGAATTGGGGTGAGGATGTCCCGCACATCTTTCTAAGGGAATATAAAACCATAAGTTAGAAATGAGAACAAGCATGTGAATCAAAAAACATAAATACATAAAGCTCCTCCTTTCCTGCATTAAGGCCAAACAACATGGGAAACCTAAACGAAGTATTTACCTTTTCATCTAAATTGTTACAATGCATTGAATATGTATATGTTTTCACATTCCAAAAGCATTGATGCTTGTTAAAAAAAACACAAGAAGTGTAAAAGTAGAAAAAAACATATCCATCCCATAATAGTTACATAGTTTTACATTTGGACATGCTTTCTTCCGTGATACTTTCTCTGCATACTTATCATCACCTGACATTATTTCATAAGCTTTTTCCATTATAAATTCTTTGTAAATCATTTCAAACTACTGATCAACATTTTAGTCTACTTAACATTTCTGTGTAGTAGACTTAAGTTATCTCTCAATTTATTCAAGTTTTCTTTTTGTATCTCTCAGTAACATTTTAATTCAATGTTATTCATTTGATTTTATGTTTATTATTAAATATACCCTTTTTGTTGTTCTTTGGGAGTTTTCCAATTCTATTGTTTAAATAGATTATAAATGGTATGTAGGAAAGTTATTTGTTTTGTACGTTTAGTCCTTTATCCCAGTCACTCTACTGAATTTTTAGTTAAGCACCCAACTTCAGCTCAGGTCATGATCTCGTGGTTTGGGAGTTTGAGCCCCTCATTGGGCTCTGTGCTGACAGCTCAGAGCCTGGAGCCTTGCTTCATTTTCTGTATCTCCCTCTCTGCCCCTCTCCCACTCATGCTCTGTCTCTGTCTCTCAAATAAACAAACATTAAAATTTTTTTTTAAAAATTTTCATTTGATTATTCGCTAGCCTCCTCATTAAAAAGAATATACTACAGAGGGAGGAGTCAAGATGACAGCATAGTAGAGGCACCCTGGGCTAGTTTTGTCCCTTCAACACAGCTAGAGCAACATCAAATCATTTTAAACACCTAGGAAATCCATCTGAGAATTAAGGGAACAATCTACATAATTTGAGGGAGAGAACCTGGTAGGTATGAAGTGCAGAGACGTGAGGTAGTGGGAGAGAAAAACTACAGTGCCAAGTAGGGTAGGGAACCCTTTCTGTACAGCAGAGAGAGAGTGAGCATCAAGATGGGTTTGGGCAAAAAAAGCATTCTCCCAAAACCAATGACTGGGAAATTGGGAGGAATGGACCATCACAAATTTTTGCCAACATTAGAGCTCAAATTCTGAGGTTTTGGAAGTTAGTGCCATTCAATGGAGTTGATCTAGGTAGGTGTCTGTGTTCCTGGGGAGAAGGAAGGTGAGGCTCCTGAGAGTGGACAGAGTGGTATGGGGATCCCTGGTCACTCTGGGAGACAACATTCCTCTTCCTGGAGTGCATTTGGAAGGATTTATTTCCTCTCCCAGGACAAAACACCTGGCTTAGCACCTTTGAGCAGTCATTCAAAAGCAGGGGACAGAGGCATGTGCAGAAGGTGGGTAACTGGTTGCAGCTTTTCTCTGTGCTTCACCATAAACTCCAGGCACCTGCACGGCCCTGCAGCTGCTTTTCTTGGACAGAAAGGCACCAGACACAGCACTGCAAGGCTCTCCTCCAGAGGAGAGGAGTCGGTATGTGTAATCCTTTAAGGTGTGGAGTTTTGAATCCCAGTTGTGCACCAGAGCTAAAACACAGAAGAGCTGTGGCACCAGGTATGTCGATGGCTCAGGCACAGACAGGTTGAGGGCATGGATCTGATGGAAGTCAGGGCCACAGGATGGGGAGACTGTGTGCCTGCCTGTGAGGGTTCCCTGAACAGTGTCTAGTGTGAGCTCCCGGCCCTGGGGAGAGCAGAGTAAAATCATCTTCCCCATTGCCTACCAGCAGGGCTGGACTTCAGTGAACATAGCGCCCCTAGTGGAGGCTAGAGCCACCTACACCAAACCCCACCCCTACCCTGCACCCTGCAGGAGCATCTTTACTAGGTCAGGTCTGACTGTGAGTCAGCACAGCCAGCCTCTCCCCCAGAGGACCAACACAGGCACTGCAACCAAGTCTACTGATCACACTGTATTCTAAAGTATCAGTAGTTTCAGTTCTGGTGGAAATAGGACCATGTGCTCTTTTTCTCTTTTTCTCTTTCTTTCTCTCTTTGTCTCTTTTGAATCAGGCTTATAGTTTTTGTTCCTTTTTTCATTTCCTTGTTTTTTTGGATCAGGCTCTTTTTCCTTTTCTTTTTCTTTTTTTTTTTCATCTTTTTTTTGCTTTCTTTTTCTTCGGAATCAGGCTTATAGTATTTTTGACTGTTTTCTTTTTTGTTCCTTTTCCTTTTTGCTTTTTCTGGATTAGGTCTTTTTTTTAATCAGTCTTATTTCAACAAATAGGAGCACACCTAGTTAAAGGTCCAAACACTCCTCACCAAAAGCAAGGAGGAACTCTTCAGAGGACTGACCCGGGGAAAAGAGCAGCCAAACCACAACAGCAGAGCACACACAGCATACACCAGAAGTAATTCCTGAAGCGCCAAGCTCTGGACAGTGTATAATCCCTTTCATTAACACACAAAAGACAGAAACCTAGATAAAATGACAAGACAGGGAATTCTCCTCCAAAGAAAGATCAAGAAGAAACCACAGTCAGGGATTTGCTCCAAACAGATAAGTAATATATCTAAATAAGAATTTAGAATAACAGTCATAAGAATACTAGCCGGGGTTGAAAAAAGCATAGAAAACGCCAGAGAAACCTTTGCTGCAGAGAAAAAGACCTAAAAACTAGTCAGGCTAAAATAATAAATGCTATAATTGAGATGCAAAACTGACTGGATGTGATTACAAGGATGGAGGAAGCAGAGGACTGAATAGGTGATATAGAAGATGAAATTATGGAAAATAATGAAGCTGAACAGGAGAGGGAAAGAAAACTACTTGATCATGAATATAGACTTAGGGAAATCAGTGATTCTATGAAATACAATTATGAAGGCACCTGAGTGGCTCAGTTGGTTAAGCGTCCGACTTTGGCTCAGGTCATGATCTCACAGTTTGTGGGTTCCAGCCCCGTGTTGGGCTCTGTGCTGACAGCTAGCTCAGAGCCTGGAGCCTGTTTCAGATTCTGTATCTCCCCCCCACCTCTCTCTGACCCTCCCCTGCTCACACTGTCTCTCTCTCTCTCTCTCAGAAATAAAACATTAAAAATTAAAAAAAAAACCAAAGTACAATTATGTATGTATCATACGAATCCCAGAAAAAGAAGATCAGGAAAAAGGGGCAGAAGGTTTATTTGAACAAATTATAGCTGAGAACCTCCCTAATCTGGGGAAGGAAACAGGCATTCAAGTCCAAGAGACACAGAGAACTCCTCTCAAAATAAACAAAAACAGGTCAACACCATGACATATCATAGTGAAACTTGCAAAATACCCAGATAAAGAGAATTCTGAAAGTAGTTAGAGACAAAAGGTCCTTAACCTACAAGGATAGACACAGAAGGTTGGCAACAGACCTGTCTACAGAAAGTTGGCAGGCCAGCAGGGAGTGGCACAATATATTCAGTGTGCTAAACAGGAAACTGATGCAGCCAAGAATACTTTATTCAGCAAGGCAGTCATTCAGAATAGAAGGAGAGATCAAAGGTTTCCAAGACAAGCAAAAACTAAACCAGTTCTTTAAAATTATTAAAGGGGAACCTTTAAGCAGGAAAGATACCAAAAGCAACAAAGACTAGAAAAGAACAGAGACAATCTAAATGTACAGCAACTTTACAGGACTCTGAATGTAAAAAGACTAAATACTCCAATTAAAAGATACACGGTATCAGAAAGGATTTAAAAAAAAAAAAAAAAAAAGACTGTTTGCTATGCTGCTTATGAGAGACTCATTTTAGACCCAAAGACCTCCAAAATGAAAGTCAGGGGGTGGAACCATCTATCATGCTAATGGACATCAAAAGAAAGCTGGAGTAGCCATACTTCTATCAGACAAACTAGGCTTTATTTTTTTAATGTTTATTTATTTTTGAGAGAGAGAGAGATGGAGGGAAAGAGAGAGAGACAGTGAGTGAGTAGGGAAAGAGCAGAGAGAAAGGAAGACAGAGAATCTGAAGCAGGCTCAGCACTGTCTGCCTAGAGCCTAACATGAGACTTGAACTCACAAACCATGAGATCATGACTTGAGCTCAAGTTGGATTTGTAACTGACTTAGTCACCCAGGTGCCCTCAAACTAGATTTTAAACCAAAGAGGATGATAAGAGATCAAGAAAAACACTAAATCATAATAAAGGCGTATATCCAACAAGAAGAGCTAACATTTGTAAATATTTATGCCCTAATCTTGGAACAGCCAAATATATAAATCGATTAATAACAAACTTTAAGAAACTCATTGATAATACATTAATAGTAGGGGAGTTTAATACCATACCTACAGCAATAGGTCATCTAAGCAGAAGATAAACAAGGAAACAATGGCTTTGAATGACACACTGAACTTAACAGATATACTTCAGAGCATTTCATCCTAATACAACAGAATACACATTCTATTCAAGTGCACATGGAACTTTCTCCAGTATAGATCATACTGGGTCACAAATCAGGCCTCGAGCACTACAAAAAGACTGAGATCATACCATGCATATTTTTAGACCACAACACTCTGAAATTTGAAGTCAACCACAAAAAAATTTAAATCCCTCAAATACATGGAGGTTAAAGAACATTTTGTTAAAGGACAAATGGATCCATTAACCAGGAAATTAAAGAAAAAAAAATTCATCGAAGCCAGTGAAAATGAAAACATGACAGTCCGAAAGCATAAAGGCAGTCCTATGAGGGAAGTATATAGCAATTCAGGCCTTCCTCAAGAAGGAAGAAAAATCTCAAATATACAACCTAACCTCACACCTAAAGAAGCTGGAAAAAGAACAACAAATAAAGCCACAAACCAGGAAAAGAAGGGAAATAATAAAGATTAGAGCAAAAACAAATTATATAGAAATTAAAAAAAA